TAATGGGGAAGTGTACAGTAATACAGGCCTATCTCAATAAGAAAAATCTCAAACAACCTAACAACCTAACCTATGTCTGAAGGAGCTAGGAAAACAAACAAACAAACAAACAAACAAACCAAAACCATTAGAAAGAAGGAAATAATAAACACTAGGGCAAAAATAAATCATATTGAAACTAAAAATCCAATAAAACAGATCAATGAAGCCAAGAGCTATTTCTTTAAAAAAGATCAACCAGGGATCCCTGGGTGGCGCAGCGGTTTGGCGCCTGCCTTTGGCCCAGGGCGCGATCCTGGAGACCCGGGATCGAATCCCACGTCGGGCTCCCGGTGCATGGAGCCTGCTTCTGCCTATGTCTCTGCCTCTCTCTCTGTGTGTGTGACTATCATAAATAAATAAAAAAAAATTAAAAAAGGGATCCCTGGGTGGCGCAGTGGTTTAGCGCCTGCCTTTGGCCCAGGGCGTGATCCTGGAGATCCGGGATCGAATCCCACGTCGGGCTTCCCATGCATGGAGCCTGCTTCTCCCTCTGCCTGTGTCTCTGCCTCTCTCTCTGTGTGTGTGACTATCATAAATAAATAAAAATTTAAAAAAAAAATTAAAAAAAAAAAGATCAACCAAATTGATGAACCTCTAGACAAAGTCATCAAAAATGAGCAGAGTCAAATAAATAAAATCACTAATGAAAGGAGAAATAACACCACAGAAATACAAACTGTAAGAATACTATGAAAAACTATATGCCAATAAATTGGACAACCTAGAAGAAATGGATAAATTTCTAGAAACTTATAAGCTATCAAAACTGAAGCAGGAACTAGAAAACTTGAACAGAGCAATGACTAGCAAAGAAACTGAATCAAACTCCCAATAAAGTCCAGAAGGAGATGGCTTCACAGGTTAATTCTACCAAACATTTAAAGAGTCAATACCTATTATTCTCAAACTATTCAAAAAAAATAGAAGAGGGAAGAAAACTTCCAAATACATCCTATGAGGCCACATTACCTTGATACCAAAACTGGAAAGACCACCAAAAAAATTGATTAAAATAAATTAAAAAATAAAAACACTACAGGCCAATATTCACTACAGTGAATATAGATGCAGAAGCTCTCAACAAAATATTAGCAAACAAAATTCAATAATGCATTGAAAAAATCATTCACCACAATCAAGTGGGATTTATTGCTTGGATGCAAGAGTGTGTCAATGTTCACAAAAATCAATGTGATATATTACATCATGTAATCAAGAAGAGAAAGGGAATCAAAAGAGAAAGGATAAAAATCATATTTCTAAGATGCAGAAAAAGCTTCTGACAAAGTATAACATCCATTTATGATAAAACACCTCAAGCAAAGTAGGTTTGGAGGGAATATACCTCAACATAGTAAAGCCCATATATGAAAAACCTACAACTAACATCATACTCAATGGAAAAAAAATGGAGACCTTCTCTCCCTGAGGTCAGGAACAAGGCAAGGATGTCCACTATCACCACTTTTATTCAATGTATTACTGGAAATCCTAACCACAACAATCAGACAAGAAATAAAAGGTATCCAGTTTGTAAGAAAGAAGTAAAACTTTCACTAATGATACTATATATAGAAAGCTCTAAAGACTAAAAACAAAACAAAACACAAAAACAAAAACAAAAACCTACTGGAACTGATAAATGAATTAAGTCACAGGATGCAAAAATCATTGAACAGAAATCTGTTTCATTTCTGTACATTAATAATGAAGCAGCAAAAATAGAAATTAACAATCATGTCTACAACTGCACCAAAGATAATAAAGTATCTACGAATAAAGCTAGCCAAGGAGGGGGAAGACTTACACTCTGGAAACTATAAATCACTGATGAAAGAAATTGAAGATGACTCCAAGTAAGAGAAAGACATTCCATGCTCATGGATTGTAAGAACAAATGTTAAAATGTTTATACTACCCAAAGCAATCTATAGACTAATGAAATCTCCATCAAAGTACCAAAAACAGGGTGCCTAAGTGGCATAGTCAGTGTCAGACTCTTGGTTTTGGCTCAGGTCATAATCTCAGGGTCATGGGATCAAGCCCCACATCAGGCTCCATGTTCAGCACATAGTCTACTTGAGATTCTTTCTCCCTCTCTCTCTCTGCTCCTCTTGCTTATACTCACTCACCCTCAAATATTAAAAAAAAAACAAAACATATACATACACAACAAAAGCATTTTTCACAGTACCAGAAGAAAATTCTAAAATTTGTATGGAACCACAAAAGACCCTGAATACCCAAAGCAATCCTAAAACAAACAAACAAACAAAACTAGAAGTACCATAGTTCCAGACATCAAGTTATATTACAAAGCTATAGTGATCAAAACAGTACAGTACTGGCAAAAAAATAGACACATTGAGATCAATAAAACAAAATAGAGGGCTCAGTCCAGAACCTGTATATTACAGGGAAAATTTATGACACAGATATACTAAACCTCAGCAAAGTGGTCCACAGAGCAGGCATCACAAAAATATCAATTCCTTCCCTGTTACTGTGTTAGCTAAAGGGGCGGTGAATCACTATCACCAATACATAACATCTGTAATGGGTCGCTATGCTCAACTTGTATCAAATTAAAATCAAATTCCTTCTTCCAAATAAACAGCCTTTCTGAAATTTCAGATAAACCATGACCAAACAACTGAGACTGTAGGCAACTTAGGAATTCAATAAACTTAGGGGCCCCTGAGTGACTCAGTGGGTTAAGTGTTCCACCCTTGATTTTGGTTCAGGTCATGATCTGAGATCAAGCCCCATGGCAGGCTCCATGCTCAGCAGGGAGTCTTCTTGAGATTCTCACTCGCTCATGCTCTCTCTCTGCCCCTCCTCACACTCTGGGTGTGTTCTCTAAAATAAATAAATCTTAAAAAAAAAATTACATAAACTCAAGGCCTGTTTTAGCCCCCAGACCAAGACAACACAATGAAAATTAACATCCCTCCGTTACTATCTCATCATAGATCCAGGGTGTATTTAGAATCTCTGGGTACTGCTTAAGTGATCAAGAAATGGAAGTTTGAATCAGCATCAAGCAAATTTTCACTAATTCAACTCTCTACAATAAGCACAGAATCTGTGGCCTGTGATGGTTTGTCCTCTCCCTTCCCCAGGATATATGAAAATACCTAAGAGGTGAACCAGTGCTATTGGAGGGAATTGAATTGAAGACATCAATAAAGAATAAGTTGGGTTTGTTTTGTTTTAGTACCATTTGATAAGTGTCTGTGCTGAAAATATGGGAATCCTAACTGCAAGATTCCAAAAACGGAATGTGCTTCTTCCCCAAGGTACTGGAATCCATTTCAACCCAATGATTCTATCACTTGACTCCATATGGAGTCTGAAAAATGGCTTTCTGTTTCCCATGTGTAGAATGAAAGCCTAAGATTTACTCAATGCACACAGAAAAACTTTTAATTTCAAAATTATACAATGAATTTATATTCATGGCAAATGTTCTTTAGAGAAACTTTAAGCTGTTTTTTTTTGGCAGTAAGATGTCAATACACAATGAAAGCCTACCATAAGGAGGAATAAATGTATTTATTCAACTACGAATGTTGATTAGAATTACCAGAGGTTATAATTTAATTTGGCAAAACATCAAATTATCAATGATATAAGACAAGCTTCCTATGTTTCACCTGAAAAGAACTTAAAAATAAGACAAGTTTCGAAATACAGTTGCATTAGTTTAGACATCATCGTGGGGTGGGTATCATTGTTCCCCCAAAAAAGTTAGAAAAGCCAAAACATCTCTAACCTGATGTAGCTCAAGAATATCGTCTTTCCTAACTTCTCTCCTAAAGGGACCTAACAATTCCCTAACACACCCTAAAAACACTTCTAAAACAGCCCATTGACATTTCATTACACCACATGTGCTTCTTTGAGACATGAACCCTCCACGGTGAACACCCATGTCTCACATCCCTCCTACCTGGCACCCAGTTCCTGGCCCAGAGGACAGAAGCCAAGAAAAGCCTACGTGGGGCCAAAGATACATGTTAAGTCCCTATGGTGAAAAACAGGGCTCAGGACAAGTACACAAAGCTCAAAACTGGCCTGACAAACATTTTTAAAACTCAGAAACTAGTTTCTTCATGCTATTGACAAAAATATAGGTGTATTTAAAGAAAAATAATCTTCAAACTGCATGAATTTTTTGTTTAAATGATCTAGTCTCCTCCTCCCACCCCACAAACATCAGATATGCCACAAGTGCTATAGACAACAGGCTGCTTTTTCACTGTACATGAATCAAAGGGGTTTATTTTAACGGACCAGGAATCAACATGTTAGGGCTACAAGAGACCTCAGACATCTACCAGGCCAACCCTTTCACATCTGGGTGTCCAAGATTTTTCCACCAAAGTCACACTGGCTGATCCAAGGCAGAATTTGCAATTACCTTGTTCACAGGAGAGGGCTCCGCTTCCCAGAGCAGCCTCCTCCACAAGAGACCAAGAGTTATTTTTATGTTGATACTGTTTACCAGCTCTCCCCAGCCATGCCATTTCTTAAATATGGCCCAACACATCTTAAAGTTCATGAACAAATCTTTCATTTTCGTAAGTATAAAATATAATCAGATACTTAACTCCAAATAACTAATTACACCAAAATATTAACTTATTGTTTCACCTTATTAAAAGGAACATTGGTATGCAATACAAAATATTGCACTTGATTATTTTCCCCATATGCAGTTTTCCGATGTTGTAATATACAGGAAATACTTCAGAATACCTTAACATTCTAAAGTTTGCAGCCTACAAGACACTCTAAAGTGTGCACCTTACAAAACAAAGAATTACTGAATAATCAACACCTGAAAGCAAATTTGCACAACTACGTCTGCAACATTTTTGATTACTTGTGATAATTGCTAATACATCTCTCAGCTTCCTCCACCCTTCCCTGAAGCAAGCAAAAATCTTACTTACCAAAAACATAGAACCATATTCAAAGGTCTCATTCATAATTTCCTTTTTTAGCTCTTGTTTTTCCATAGGTGTCCCATTTTCTTTTTCACCCTTCTTTTCAGGGCTAATCCTATCAATGCTGGAGGCATATGTTATTTCCAAACATTCTGTGCTTTCCATTTTAACAGGGAGTATGTCTTTAATCTTCTGGAAAAAGGGAGCCACGGACCCAGTCTCACATGCTGAATTAGAACTTGCTTTGTCAACATCTTCCTGATTCGATTTCATGGCAGATGTTGTTCTTGGAACCTTGTGTGAAGCATTTTTAGAATGAGTTGTAACATGTACAGCCTGGCTAGTAATGAGTTTATTAAATTGCTGCTTATGCGTCTTGTTAATTAGGATTTCTGCTTTTGTATCTACATTCAAGTCAGACCTTGGGGTTTTGCTCAAAGTTGTCAACTGTCTTGAAGAGAGAGATGAGGGTGGTGAGGCATTGGTTAACTGAGGACTGGGGTTAACCTTTGATAAAGCAGGGTCTTTGGACTGCAGCACTGGTCTAGACACAACTTTTGCTTTGACATTCTTGAAGTTTGGTCTTGGGTAACTTATAATTTCGGTTTTTCTAACTTTGCTCCCTATAGGGGTATTTATTTTAGATGTCAATTTTCCTAAATTAGGCTTAGACGTGGTCATCGGTGCCCCCTTCAAGTTTGGTAAATTTCTAAGCTCTCGATGACTCTTCTCCACTTTACTATATTTCTTGGTCGCTTCAATAGGTGAAATAGAAAAGGTTGCATTTGGGGAATCTAGGATTGGCGTTGACATGCGATTTGTGTGATTTGTGCTAATGACCATATCATTTGCATCCCAACTCAATTCAACTGATGAAGCCATCTTTTGTCCTGGTGGGCTACTCAAGATCAGTTCTGTGGTACGATTTTGGGTTTCCAAATCCTTTTCATTAGAGGCATTTTGTGTGTCTTCAGCCACAGTGACTTTGTGTTCTGGGTTCAGTAGTTGGGCTTCATTTTTATCAAAAGCTGGCACCAGTAAAGGGCATTCATCATCCCTAAGAGAATTAGACACTGTTTCTCTTAGATTTTGGCCCATTTCCTTTTGCCCATATGAGCTCTGTGAATGTGTCTCACTATTTGGTTCATCTTTAGATAAACAAAAGAACTCTTGTAATACAGACCCATTGGGAACATCCATGCCCTCAGAAACTGGTGTTTGAGCTTGTATCTCTTTTTCTCCAACCACTCTTCGCTGTGACCCATCTGTGTAGTCACTGGTGACCTGTCCTGACGAATACTGACACTGATTGCCAGTATCTGGAACACCACTATCAGTTTGCATCACATCAGAAAACACTGTGTAAGTTGTGTCTTGGGCCTGTGCTGCTGGGGCTTGTGTGTTTTCAAAGCGGTCTTGATCATAATTCATTTCTCTCACATGTACCTCAGCAGAATGGGAAGATGTATGAATGGAACAGGATAAAGATGGATTTCCACTCCTTGTGCTGGTTGGCTGCAGATTTCCAGGGGTATGCAAAGACTGATCCTTTCCAATGGCACGACGTGTTATAAAGGTGCAGTTAACATTATCCACTGTCATGTCAAATGTTTGGTTTAGCTCCAAGGCAGCAGGATAGTCTGTGTAGTACAAATCCTCGTTGTTGGGTTTCCACACGAAAGGCAGAGCTGTCTCAGCACTCTGGTCCTGAAAGGATTCTAGGGAATGACAACTGTTAGACAGGTACTTGGGCTCCTCTGTGCTTACAACATGTGCGCAAGACTGAAGTGCGGAATCTTTATGGAGATCTAACACCTCCCTACCAATCAACTCACTTGAAGACTTCTGGCAATCAAGTACTTCCAAACACGGAGGGGTTAAAGCAACATTTTTGTCAATGTCCACAGCAGAGTTGGTTTCATAATCAACCACCATGTCATCAGGCTTGGCAGAATTCCAATTCACATTACTGGCTGAAGAGTTTTGTGTATGTGGGGATTTTGGGTTGAATGCATATGTGTTTCCGTTTTTGTCACTCATAAATAAGGAATGCAGTTCATCTTCTGTCTTCTCATCTGAATTATCATCATTCATCCTGAATATTAACTTTAAACCTCTGCCATTTTATTCTCTTCGTTAAATCCTTTCAAATGAAAGGCAAGAAAAAATTGTCCATCTCCTAAGTTTTAGCACAGTTCAAAGTTTCTAAGATGCTTTGAAGTTATAATGATTTGTTGTTCCCTGGAAGAAACAAAATGATCAATTCAAGTAAGTATTATTAAAATTAGTAAGTCACTGCTTGATTTCAATCACTTTATTTTTACATTTGGAACCTACACCTGTGGATAGAGGTAAAAAAAATATCTTCAGCTCAGTATCACCTGCTTTTTTATGTGAGGAAATGGGGCAGAAGACAGAAACACTGCTAAAATTGTACCATGACTGACTTTACATCTGAGATACCTCCCCTCCCCATATTCTCATTGTCAGAAGAGAAGAAAATCTCACAAGAGCCTTTCCTTCTCGTTGGTTAACCATTGATCCTAATTTGCTGAGGACAGTTCCAATTTATGCTTGTTGTCCCAACATAATTATAATAATATCCTTTCCATATTCAGAAGGGTTCCTTATTGTGTCCATAAAGGGTGATTACCAGACAGACCTGTCAAACACAGCAAATGAGCTGAAGATCAATGAAGATTTAGGGCATTTCTCTTTCCCTGCTTTCATTTCTTAAACATACTTCAAAGTTGAAAAAAAAAAGTTGTTAATTCTTAATAGTTAAAGTGGTACCTGTTGGAAGTCCCTAAAAGTGTTAAATTGCCTGACACAGGATTTCTACTCTGAAGTATCTACTAAAGAGAAATGAAAACTTATGCCTACACAAACACTTGTACAAATGTACAGGATTAATAGAAGCATTAGTCATAATAGCTAAGTAGAAGTCAATGTCAATTAACTGGTAAATAAAAAAAAAAAAAAAGACTGGTAAATACCAAAACGTTGATGCCCATTCAACAGAACAAACAATCAGCAAAAGAAAAAATGGAGTATTGACACAGCCACAACATGCATAGTGTTACAAATCAAAAATATTATACTAAGTGAAAAGCCAGTGGTAGACAACTACTTATTATATATTATATTTACATGAAATGTCCAGAATAGGAAAATCTATAGAGACAAAATAGATCAGTGATTCTCTAGAGCTGAGAAAGGGTAAGAGGGAAAGGAATGAGCAGCAACTGTTAATCAGGATGGTGTTTCTTTTGAGAGTCATGAAAATGTTCTAAAGACTATGATGATAGTTGCACAATACTATATATACCACTTAAAACTACTGAATCGAACACATACAAGATCATTAAAAACAACCCACTAAGGCTTTCCAATCCAAAGATTTCTGCTAATAACTAAGTTTATTATGCTTTTGGCCAAAGTTACGTCCTTAAAAAATGCATTCGATCAAAGACCCAATGTTCAAGAGAGGACTGCAAGTAAGTCACAGAGATATACATTCACTTGAATTGAATTTCTAATCCTGGTATTAAGGGTCAATCAGATGTCGCTGTTCTGACCTAAAGAAATAAAATATACATGGGGGGGGGGGATGACATACCGTGACCTGTAAATTTGTGAATTAAGAGATCTCATTTTTCCATTTTGTAATCCTCTCTGTAATCAAACTTCAGTGACCTAAATACAACCAAAATTGGAACCATGGAAGAACTGAAAGGATCAGTATCTTCGCTAACAGTACTCTATGTGTTTCTGGCCATGTATCCTGAAATCAGTTTCTACTGTGGGGAGAAAGAAAGGCTGCAATGTTCAGCGCAATAGCATGCATGTGTGCGTATACAAGCACATACACATGCACACACTCAAAAGGACATTCTGAATCCTAAAATAAGGCCTATATGATTTATATATACTGATGGGAAATATAAATTACTGTTTTCCACCATTAGGTTTTGTTTATTTTGTTTTTTGTTTAATATTTTACTTCTTTGAGAGGGAGAGGGAGCCTAACTGGGGCTCAACCCCAGGACTCTAGCATCATGACCTGTACTGAAGGCAGATACTTAGCCAACTGAGCCACCCCTTCCACCACAGTTCTGAATTCACTAAATTCACTGAAGTAATAGTTGTTTGGCTAATACCCTAATAAAAGTTTTGCTAAGATGCATTAATTATGGGGAGTAGGAAATATGTTCAAGCTAAATATTTATTTTTTTAAAGATTTTTTATTTTATTTATTCATAGAGACACAGAGAGAGAGAGGCAGAGACACAGGCAGAGGGAGAAGCAGGCTCCATGCAGGGAGCCTGACGTGGGACTCGATCCCGATCCCGATCCCGGGTCTCCAGGATCATGCCCCGGGCTGCAGGCGGCGCTAAACCGCTGCACCACCAGGGCTGCCCTCAAGTTAAATATTTAAACAAAGAAGTATATTTATTCACCTTTAGACTTACGTGTGTGGCCTATAATTTCAAAAAGCAGTAAATACATTATAACTGTCTGTTTCCATGAAGGTCAATATTCATTTAAGAGATTCTAGTAGTAGAAAATATGAGCACTGTAAACAGAAGCTTTTAATGTAATTCAAAGAAATTGTTTGTCTACATAAACACAATCATTAGATTCAATTAAGGAGTTTTACTATCTGAATTCCTTCTTCCAAAGTACGTAGAAAATTATTTTTTAAAAAAACTTTGATAAAAACCGAATGATTCAAATGTCAAGGCATTTCAAGTTACTTTTGAAATAAATGCATAATAGAATACAAATGTATAATAGGACACAGACATTCTATACTTATTTATAAAGGAGAAAAACTGGGGAAAAACTAACACTAAACATACTTGCAATCTTTGACTACCTATGATTATTTCCTTTTGAACAACTTCCTAGAAATAGAAGCATGTACCAAGGCAGGGCAGCCCAGGTGGCTCAGCTTAGTGCCGCCTTCAGCCCAGGGCCTGATCCTGGGGACCCAGGATCGAGTCCCACTTCGGGCTCCCTGCATGAAGCCTGCTTATCCCTCTGCCTGTGTCTCTGCCTGTCTCTCATGAATAAAAAAAAAAAAAAAATCCTTAAAAAAAAAAATGTGTCAAGGCAAAGAATGTGATTTTTTTAAGAGTCTTGATACAGTTCGCCAAATTGTTAGATGGGAGGGGGGAGATTCTTTATTAAAAAATATTCATATATATGTATATATGAATACATATATATATATGAAACAGATATAGGACCTGAGTTTTACTTTTAAAGTTCATGTATTTTATTCAGCATTTTCCCCCAAATATTTTTCCAAGTCATTATACTATAAAAACATTTCTAATGGTTGTTAAATTTCACTAAAGTTTAAATGTTTTACATTTATGTTAGTTTATGAAGTGTAATGAAAAAACCCATCAACCATTCTAATCTTCACATGACTGCTTAATATATTTGTTGTTTTGTTGTATTTTTTTTTAAATTCACAAACAACCAAACTAAGTGAGCAAAGCTATATAAAACATACACACACACACACACACACACACACACACACAATGCATTGAGAAGTACTTCAGGAGAGTTTTGATAGGAAATGAATTTACAGAAGTATTTTCTACCTTTGTAGCAAAGAGTAAAGAATTTGCGGTACAAAGATTTGGATACTAAAAATTTCTTAAGATTATCAGTTATAGAATTAGTTGGAAGATCAACTTTCTCTAAAGAAAACAAAAATTTCAAGTCATCACTATGAAGATAAATCCATGGTCAGGAAACTATTCCCTCAGGAATTCTATCAAAAAAGCTGAAAGCTATTTTGCCTGAAGGCCAATTTCATTCCTTCCCTCCCACTTAAAGAACAGTACCCTAAATTTCTACTACATGCTGGACTCATGTTCTGTGATAATCTCACCTGATCCATGAATTTGTGTCTTTGTATTTCTATAACTCCAATGTCATTTGTGACACCTTCAAAGTTACTATTTGGGCAACGTTTATTATTAAGCAAAATCAAAAGTTAAAAAAAGGCAAAAAGGTTGAAATAAATTATTCTCCCTAAAGAGTTCATTTCTCAAGTTGTCTTTCAGCAGCATTATCTATCAGAACAAACAGAATGGTCAAGTTTCCTTTTTAAGAATGCCATTTGGGAAAATAAAGAGATCTTTCTCAGACAACATTTTGGATGAGAGAGAACAAATTCCCTACCTACTAAGATCTGAGAATATGATAGGCTAGCTCCTCTTGATTCAAGAGGAGTAAGGTTACCAAAATATATATTTTTATAATGATTTATAAGGTTAAAAACTATTTGTACTGAAAGAAAAGGTCAATGAAAATAACATTGTAATATTTGAGCTATTTCAATACTTTTGGAAAGCATAAGATTACTTTCTAAATCTTAGTTTAAGAACAATGATTGTTTTCCAAAGGTAGAAATTCCATTTTTATTACACTGAACAGATACACCTAAAAAGATCATTTATATAAATGAAATCCTTGTGATTCAATTGAACTCACCATCATTATATTAATACTAGAAGATATTTTAAATATCTAATTCAAAAAAAAATCTAATTCAAACATCTTACAAATAAGAAAACCACCTGTACGACAGAAACTACAGGACTCCGTCAAATGGGTTGCTAGAACACTACTACTACATTATGCAATAATTATGTGCCTTATTTGCCAACTGAACTATAAACTCAGTAGAGGCTTATACATCAGTACATATCTTCTACATCTTCCCATTACCTATAATATCTAACCTGGTAATTTGAACTTAGTACAGATAAACTTGCTACCTCATATGGTAATTAAGAAAGGAGGTTTCCAGAAGTCATATATGGAAACTAGTTTCATTACTTTGTAACCATAAAGAACTTTAATTTTACTCCTTATATATGTCTACATATGGCATACCAGCCTTAAGATTTGAATATAGTTATAATTTACAGCTTTCAAATCATGCAATCATGTCAGCTCTTATAGTTTCTATGAACTCACGAATCCTACCACTAAAGCTCCCTAGGCTTCAAAACCCAAAATATATCTGGTCTTGAACTTATTTTAGAACAACAAAAAAGACGATCTATGTACAATATCTGAGCTACCCATTTTATTTTATTCGAAAGTGAAAAATAAAGAAGTTGAACAAAAAATCATCAGCATGTGTTGCTGACATACTCATAAATCTCTCCTGTTGAAACCATTCAAGGTACTAAAAGTTTTACCCTTAAGCC